CCAAGTGGGCTAAGACTGCACTATTTACACATTTGGTTACTCCTTTACTCAACCATACAGGTACATGTTCACGCGCGCGCATGGATAAAGCCCTCTGAGTACGGTCAATGTAACTAGCTCCGCATGAGCAGTTGAATTCATAGATACACACTGATGAGGCCATCTTTGGTAATTTATCCCTTACTTGCTGTGTGAGTACTGGTTTAGTTGAGAAGTTGAGTACCAGTTTAGCTGCAGGAAATGTTCTATCTACTGCTCTATTAATCAACAATTTAGAATGTCAGCTGCAATTTCCCCTTCGTAACTTAACTTAAGATACAAAGGTTTCTTGTCTACGGTATCCACCTTTACCTTGTCTGTAGGTATTGACATATACTTTTTCAGGAAGCTCTGTGGATATCCATTTTCTTGTAGTGTGAGTTTCAGTTTATGCATTTCTTCCTTAATGCATTCCTCTGAACATATACGTTTTATTCTATAGCTAAGACACTTAACTAAGTTTCTTTTGTACTGAATCGGTGCGAAGCTATGGACATGGGTGTACTGACCCGTCCAAGTTTTCTTTCTAAATAGTTTCCTTTGTAGATATCCGTCTGTCTTCATGGTAAGGAGGACGTCTAGGAAAGGTAAACTGTTATTGTCTTCTTCTTCACATGTAAACTGAATAGTTGGGTGAACACTATTAACAGCATTTAGAAGCTCTTGTTTTTTAGATTTATATCACAAACGATAAAGGTATCATCTACGTATCGACAATAATAGTCAAACCCTTTAATCGTGTCTTTAAGTGGACCGTTTTCAAGCTTTGCCAGAAAAATATCCGCTAGCATAGGGCCCAGAGGTGATCCCATGGCTACACCATTAACTTGTTTATAAAAACCATTATTGAACATAAACTGAACATTCATAGTGCATTTCAATAATAATTCTTTGACTTTTTCGGATGGGATTCCTACATCTATCTTTCTTTCTATCAGCTGGTCACATATGTAGTTGACCGTTTCAAGCAGTGGGACGTTGGTGAATAATGATGCTACATCCAGTAACATCATTTTCTTTCCCTTTACATTCAGGCTTTTGGTAGTTTCAACAAAGCTAAATACGTCTTTTACACTGAATTTGACTAATTCGCGATGTAACGGTTCTAGTGCCTTTACCAACCACTTTGCTGTAGAATAATAAGGCGATTGACACATATCTAAGATGGGACGTAGTGGTACTCCCGGCTTGTGGACTTTCGGTAAACCATAAAGTCTTGGTGTGTGCGTACTTGAGGGTTTCAATTCGTCGAGTGTATCCTTAGGAATCAGACTACTCTCAACTAATGATTTTAGTGTCTTAGCCATTTGGCGTTCGGTTGCATCAGTTGTGTCTTTACAGCTGCTCAGCTTTTGAAATTTCCTATGGTCGCTTAGAATGATATTCATTTTGTTAAGAAAATGCTGTTAAGAACAGCAAACATCCTGCCAGCAGTCAACTTACAAAGGAACACCGAGGGGCATTACGTGACCTCAAAAAGAACGAAAATCTGATAATAACTAGACCTGACAAAGGATCTGGTACAGTTATCATGAATGAGAGTGATTATTTAGACAAAATGAATATCATTCTGCATACTTTGATTGGACACTAGGCAGTAACTAGTGTGATGCGCCTAATCTTTTGTTTGGTGCAGACTGAGTTCTATCGGTCAAGTTTGACTCAATTCCTTCAAGATTACAGATATACCTCGCTAATCCAGTAATAAAACTAGTAAAGAGGGAAGGTTGGGCATGAGGCTAGCAAACCCATCCCGTAAAAATAAACACCCCTACTACCAAAACTTCACACCTCTCTAGTATGAAGCCCTTTGTTCCACTGGGAACGTAAAGGAATAAGAAGAATTCCTGACTGGTGAGTTCCAACAGGTTCGAAACTTAGGTGTCCAAGGGATATAATAAAAACATCCCAGAGTGCACCGTGATGGAGAGCCACCTAGCATTGTGGTCACATTGCCAACTTATCATATTATTATTTTTCCTTGGGTTCCTAGTGGAACATAGGGCTCTAACTGCACGTCTCCACTTGCTTCTGTCTTCTACTGTACTTTTCACCTGCATCCATGTTAGTCCATACTGTTTCAACTCTTCTTCACACGATCACCTCCATGTCACACTTGGACGTCCCACTCGTCGCTTCCCTTTCGGGTTCCACTCGAGCTATGGCCTGACGCGCGATGTCACCCAGCGGCCTCCTCAGCAGTGAGTGTCCAATTCATCTCCACTTTCTTCTGCATATTTGTTGAGCGGTTGGTTCTTGTTTTGTTTGTTCCCATAGTTCCTAGTTGGTTCTTGTTCTTTCCGGCCATCTGATCTTGAGTATAGAACGAAGACAGTTGTTGATAAAGGTCTGCAACAGCTGCTGGAAATATTCTTGGTGACACATTGGCCAAGTTTCTGATCCGTATAGCAAAACTGACTTGACGTTTGTATTGAAAATCCGAATTTTGTTGTTGATGGTGAGTGACAGCGGAAGATTTCCAGATTGGTTTCAGGTTGACGAATGTGTTTCTCGCCTTCCCGATTCTCGATTTGACATCCTCGTCCGTTCCTCCTGTAGTTGAGACAATGCTGCCTAGATAAGTGAATGAAGTAACCTCTTTCAAATCCCTCCCGTTGATGGTGATTGGCGCTGGATGTTGCTGTTGTTGTTGTTGGTTGGTTATTTTCATAACCTGCGTCTTGTCTATGTTCACCTGGAGTCCTGTCTTTGCTGCTTCTTCGACCAGTTTGTCGGCTTTCACTTGTAAGTCTTCGATTTTGTGTGACATCAAACACAAATTATCCGCGTTATCCAGGTCTTCTAGGTTCTTCACGTCGGTCCAGGATATCCCTGTCTTCTCGTTTCCCACTGTCTGACGCACAATCCAGTCCACTACAATTATGAATATCATTGGTGATAATAAGCACTCTTGTCTGACTCCTGTGTTTACTCCAAACGTCTCGCTGAGTTTCCGTTGTGGATCACTTGACATGTGCCGTTGTCGTACAGCTGTTGAATAAGGTTGATGAATTTTTGGTGTGGTTGTGTTCTCTGAGCTGGATGGTTTGGTTGCGAAGCTTTCATTGCTCTACTGAGCAACATCTTCAGCGCATACATCGAAGTATGCGCTGTTTCACAAGGTAACCTTTCCTTCAGTCAGTAGGCACCTTTCCCTCCTTCCAGACCTTTTGCAATAATGGAGTCAGCATATCTGCTGTTGTCTCTGGGTCCGCTTTCAGTGCTTCAGGGGGTATTCCATCTGGTCCAGCTGCTTTTCCAGCTTTCAGAAGCTTGATTGCATTCAAGACTTCAGCTTTCGTTGGAGGATTGGTGTCAACTTGCAGTTGTGTACGTACTATTGTTGGTATTTGTGGATGGGTTGCAGGTGGTGGTCTGTTCAAGAGTCCTTTGAAGTGGTCTGCCCATTGTTTAATCTGTCTTTCTTCCTTGGTAATTGGGTTCCCTTAGCTGTCTTTTATAGGTTTCAATTGTGCTGATCTCTTCCCGGATAGAGACTTGGTTATCTGATATAGTGTCCCCAGGTCCCTTTTGCCTGCTGCCTTCTCAGCCTCAGTGGCCAGGTTGTCGTAGAATTGTCTTTTGCCCTTCCTGGCACTCTTCTTCACTTCTTTGTCCAGTGCTGTGTAAGTTGAGCTCAGCGTCTCTTTCTCTTGTCCGTCTTTGCATTGAATCATTTTCTCTTTCACCATTCTCCTCTCGTCTATTAGCTTCCAAGTGTCCGTTGAGAGCCATTCCTTGTCTTGTCTCTTCTTTCTTCCTTTCCTTTCGTTGAAAATCACCTTCAGAGAGTTCCAATGGTCTTCCACGCATGATTCTTCCGTGATGTCACGTAGTGTTTCCTGCTTTGCTGTGACAGTTGCAGTGAAAGTGTCCTTTGTGGTTGTCCTCTGGGTGACCGGAATAGATAATTATCTCTCCAGTTGGTAGTTGGCTCCTTCCACATCCGTTCCATCTGCTCTCGCAGATTCCCAACACTTCTACTCCATATCTTCTCATTTCTGCGGCTACCTGGGCAGCCTTTCCAGTTTCGTACATTGTGCGAATATTCCACGTCTCCATCCTTATTTTTGCTTTCATCGGAAGAAGGCACATCGGCTGACTGGCTTCCTGAAGGCGTTTACCAGCATGCGGCATTTCACTTCCCCGATTCCAGCGAAAAATAAGGTTATTGTTTATATTTTTAGAATTTTTAATATATTTATGCGTTGAAGTTTCTGTAGCAATTTGGTTAAGTTTTGGGGGTGGAGTTTCTAGCACCACGCCCCAACCCTCCATCTTTATCCAGGCTTGGGACCGGCTAGAAAACTAGTGAGCTAGTAATCTAGGCCAACTTGACTGATAGAATTCAGTCTGCACCAATGATCTGACTAGACGCATGACATCAGTTACTATCTAGTGTCCAATCAGAGTAAAGGATGACGGTACAGTAATAACAATTAAATATTAGTGAAGTTACAAACAATGAGAACAAATGATCTTTGTTGTTGATAATAAATTTTAAAACATGTCATTGAGGTTTTTAATGACTCCAGGAAACTACCTTGCTGTTTCTGATTAAAAATGATGAAACAATAACGCTCAATAAATCTTCCTATATGATTTCACCAAATAAAATATTCTTAAAATTACTACTTATAATAATAATAACAGTCCCTTTCCTTTCAAACAATAGTTTTATATAGAATGGAAACCTTGGCAACAAAATTTACTCTTTCTTAAAATAAAATCAGAAGATAAATAACCACAAAATCTGCATTTTGTCTCACTAGTAGATAGATATCTTCTTTGAAAATTTATGGAGGAATACAAAAAGTGATTGGTTGAAGGTTTTTCGAAAAAAAGTGAACGAGTGAAAATAATACTATTTATGTGTCTATTCTTTGATTTTTCCTCTGTCTAATGTAATATTGTATGAAATTCAATATTATTATTCTGAATACTTTTCTTTTGGCCTCTAGAGACTTTGCATCATTGTCATTGCCAAATCTATCTACACTGAGTGTATTCGGTGTAATGTTAGCTGATTCACATCAAACTGATCAACCGGAAATGCTTCATGAAGTCCAAACAAAGATATTAACCATGCTAAATGATTTCCCTATCAAACATACAGCTTCTTCATGTCTGAATTCAGTTATCATGTTGTTTAATGGTGTATTGTGTAAAAATTGGTCGACTTTAGTGAGTAATTGGCCTCTCAGCGATTGGAGAACAATTTTATCAGCAATCATTAATCATTTATGGGATCAAGATGTTGAGCTATTCAAAAATTTGTGCTGTAAGTTTGTTTACAATATATTCCGTATGTCCGTCCACATACACTACTGATTGGTGTGAGAGATTGGAAACTAGTCGCATCAACCCAGCAGTGTTTGCTAGCCAACCAGTCAGCCAGACCGAGGTGATTTAAACACCTGTGGACAGAGCTCATTAGTGGAGTCCGCCAGTAAAAATCAGTTCAGATAGTCGAATCAGATCAAACTACCAATGTCCTACTACTACTACTACTACTTCTAGTTACTGATAACATATAGAATTGTGCAGTTCGGGCTAATTAAACAGTCATTATGGTCTCCATCAAAAACTAAAAGAAACGCAAGTGGTAAGCTGGTGCAAATCACTGATGAGTAGTAATCGCGTTGTAAACGAATGAAACGGTCTTTTCTGCGTTTAGATCACTTTCGATTTAGCTAGCGCAAGCACTTCTGGTTGATGCGGATGGTTCTCAGCTAATCATATCAATCACTAGTAGTACATACTATTCTGCTCTACTACTTGTTTTCTTGGTCGCCACTTATTGTGTCAAGCAGACTAAATATGCATTGTGATCTGAATACTGTGGGTTGCTAAGGGGGAAGTGTGTGATTGTTAACTGATGAATTTCATTATTATGATTTTTATCGATTCTTTGTGTTCCCAGTAGAGCTATTGGCCTTCAGGCTTTGAGTTTTGAATTTTCAGTAGCAGCGATGTTGTGCTTTAGTGGGTTGAGTTTGCTAGTATTACGCTTAATCTTCCCTCGACTGTCGGTTAGTAAACTAAGTGGGGTTGACATTTCTGCGTCGGCCGGGATTCAAACGCACCTCCTGTATAGTTACTGACCTGTCAAATCACCACTTAATTTTTATGTGAGGCAGCAGCACATATATGTTTGTGAAACTTATCATAGCCAATTCTACTTTCATAAATTTTGTTCTTGAAATTCTGTGCATTCTATCACTTGTATGTATGAATCGATAAATCATGGACGAATGGATGAGTTGAGTGATCAAGAAAAAAGTGTTTTGTCCCTTAAATTTGTCATATAATATCTTTTTCTTAAAATAAATGTTAAAGTCAATAAAAATTAACCTTCGCACAATGTCATGAAATCAAGTACCTAGCTTGATATTTGTCTAATCTTTTCTTTTTGTTAAATGTTTGACCCAGTAATTGCAACGCTACTGTTAGCATACAACCAAACTATAGGGTGAGACAAAGCTTTACATATCTAGAAGGTAATATAATTTTGTGGAGGGAAAGGTTAATCAGAACATATATCGTTTCGCAAACTTTCATACGCTGTTTGATCTTCTAAAATCAAGAAAGAAAGATATTGAACGTTTATCACCTAATGTGTTGGTTGTTCGTTGGTAGAAATGCTCACTGACCATTCACGTGATCTAGAGTTGATTATTGGCCGACCAACTCCTAAACCTCATTTAGTTTACTAGCCTGAGAAAAAATGGAAGCTTGGACATAAAACTACCAACGTCATCGTGTTCAAACAGCACTACTGCTACTGAAACTTTAGATCTTAAAGCCTCGTGTCCCAATCGGAACACAAGGAATAGAAATGAAAGTGATTTTGTTTTGTGACCGCTTCAGTTCATGTTTTGTTTTCTTTATTTGAAGTGAAATGGTTAGAAAAATGAGATATTTACCTTCTTTTAAATTATAAAACTGGTGGTTATTCCTTACAATGCATCATATCCTGGAATATGCAAGCCTGTTTTAAGTGATCGATGAGTTATGTGTCAATTTCATTTATTTTCATGTGATTATTTCCCTTCATAAATTTGAATAATAGCCAGATGAAAACGGCTTTCGCAGTAGGATAGGATGAATTCATTTTACTATTTCATATAGAGTTTTCGTCGTCTGCATACCTCTTGAATAAGCGACCAGTGTGTTATGTAATTTAGACATACTTTAACTCTGAGAGTTGAATAAGATGCAGACAATAAAGACGATGTGCAAACTATGCATACAGGGAGTTAGAGTGAAGGCAAATACTTGCCTATGACAATAGCTGACTGTCGCGCCAAAATCACTAATTGATAGAAATTAGAATTTATGAACCATTGAGTCAGGCCCCAGTGGCTGAATCGTCTACGAGCACTGGGGTAGAGTATAATTCCATTATGGGTAAAATTTATTTTGATAGTCTCACAGTGTTATACACTAATATTTGCTGATGATGTTTCGAGCCCAATTTATTGCTCATAATTATATCAAGTGGTCTAGTGGGTAAGGCTTTGGCGTTTGAGACTATGGACACTGGGTTCAAACTCCGGTGGGAACATCATCACTCACTGCGGAATGCAGGTACATCTGATGATAAGTCCCAAATAGCACGAAATGCGCGTCTACGAGCTTGCCTCGCAACTGGAAGATCCTGGGTTCAAAACCTGGAGATGCATATGTACTGCCGAAGAGTCCCAAACTAAAAAGAAACAACTGTCTAGTACTCCCTTCTGGTTTTCAATGATCATCTAAGTGATATTAATGCGTGGTCGAAATCGAAACAAATCTAATCCTTACAAACTAACCCTTGATAATCAACTATAACCAAAACGGAGACATTATGTCCTGAAATTGATAGGTGAATTGAAAAATAAGTGCAGACGATTACATAATCGTGTGTAGAATTATTCACACAGAGTGAAAGAGGTCAAGGATAACAAAGGTAATAGTAAAATATATAAGAAAATAGATAAGTGAAATTATCGAGTTATGTCATTTACATTGAGATGATATTTTCGATAAGTTGACGTGAGAGTCAAGGCTTACTAAGGTTTTATTTCTTACAATGGTGACAGCTTCAGCAATTCGAATTAGTCGTGAAGTGGCTTATTTGCTCATTACTCTAAAAGATTTCGGTGTCCTGTATTAGTCAGGTGCCGAGCTATGGCGTCTTTAAATGCACTGAACCTTTTAAACATAGACTCTTGGGCGTAACAACGATCCTCCAAGACAACCATCTTTTAGTTCTCCCTATATACTTGCTACCACACGTACATGTGAATTCATAAGCGTAGTTGAAGTTAATAAGAGTCAGAAATCGTTCTAGTTTGAATTGTCTTCTTGACAGTACTGTACTCAGGCTTCCGCCTACCACGCCTAACTGTACACTTATCCACGAAGCTTTTTAGATATCCATAGTTCCTGAAACATTCATTGATGAGATTACTTACGTTTTTTTTAACATTTATTTATATTTTATCGACATAAGTGGTAGGTTTCTTTGGTCTTCAGGATCATAAGCCACATCCTCAGTTATGTTTAGAGTATTTTAATGTCACTTATTTGCATTTTTTTTGTTTTCACATCTTCATTCTCTCTTACATTTTGTATTGATGTTATATGTAATCACTTTCACTGATAGGCAACTGTTCAAGGTTTTGTGTTATTTATTCCTCTGAGGTGACCAGAAAATATGTTGTGTACTCTAAATCACTCATCGCTCGCTTGGCATTTCCCAACTTACTCCATCTTTGGCGTAGACGTGATATCCGGCTATCAACCAAAAGACGTGTACTGCTCAACAGTTCTCTCTGTCCTCCTTTACAGCTGTGAGACATGACCATTGAAAGTGGTAGATATGAAAAGTCAGGCTAGTTGTCTTTGATCAGAGATAGCTGCGTTCTTTCTCCCGTGTTAGGTTGTATAATAGGATGAGTAATATTCAGGTTAGGCACTGGGTGCTAGGTAAGTAGGGGAAATCAATCGACGAGATTGTGAAGTTGCATCGATTGAGATGGTCGGGATATGTGTTACGTATGCCTAGCCATCGCCTTCGTCGACGGGCAATTTTAGTTGACTGACATAGGATCAGGTTAGCAAAGAACCAGTGGTGGTCAAACCCAAACATAGCTTCATCAGTCAATCAAATCCACAACAGTTAGTTTAAGCCAGTCATGTAGGGAGGTATAGACTGCCAGTCTGGTTGGAGTCCTCGAAATGGTAAAAGCCAATAAAGACTTGAGACAATTTACGACCAGGTTCAAAATCGTTATGTGGCGCAGATGTTTTCACTCGTTTTAATTTGTCACATCCAATCAAACTATATTGTTCTTCTATATTACTATTCTTTTTCCCTCACACCTATGTCTACTATTTCTTCTTCGAATCTCTCTCTAATCTCTGCCCTTGCTTTGTGTGTTACACGGGGAATAGCAACTCGGACTGCTGCACATCTGTGCAAAGTTCTGTGTTAGAACCAGTCAGTCAGTATCGTTCAAAGAAATAATGCTACATATGTGCTACTTGTTTTAAAGCTTATTTAACAGTTTGTTTAAGTAATGTATATTGTTGTCTGAAACATTTAGAATTATTGGTTGTAAACTTTTGGGTCATAAATTCACTCGCTTTCTAGTATTTTTACTCATCTGTACACAGATATTCTCTCCTTTTATAGGTAGAATTCAGTTATCCAGAACGATTTTATCATGTATCCGGTTATGAGCTACACGTATTATGGGGCGAGGGCTGGTGATAGTTTCCAGTCTTCAAGCCTAGAGTAGGTCTAGAAGAAATCCAACTTGTAATCCATTGTGTGCTTAAGCCAACAGACAATATTCCCACCTTTTTTCATAGATTTTTTTGTGCATACTATAAAATTACCTTTTTAGTGGTGGTTGCGTTGTTTTCTTTTTACAGGATGGATCTGCTAGCCTCACTGTCAAGCTTCCCTTCTTTTATGGGCTTACTATGGGCTAGTAAACTAAGTGAGGTTTAGGAGTGTGTCGCCTGGGAATCGAACCCTAAACCACTTGGCGAGCATTTACCTATCAACGACTAACTCATTCTTTATGTTAATCACCTTTAATACTTTCTGATAAGTTTGTTTCTGCGCCTGTTTCCATTCACTTGTAGCACTGATTGTGAAACGTTTACTCAACAATGCTGATGATGATGATGAGAATGCTAATAAGGATATGAAAGAAATTCACAAAGATCTTTCATCCAATGAAGCTGGATTAGTAGCATGTATTTGTTGTATTATCAGTGGAAACTTAGATGGCTTGACTCAATGTTGGCTACGCCTAAATAATATTGATATAAATCAATTAGATGATGTGACGAAAATCCTGGTAGGTTATTTATTGTTAAGTATATTAACGTCCAATTCATTTTATTTCATCACTGTTGAATTTAGAATGTTGGATTTATGGGAGAACTTGATTTGCCTTATCATTTGGAGTCGTGTAGCTTATTGCTCTAGGCGCCTCACTTCCAGTCAACAATAATGGGTCACCGGTTCGAAGCCCGCTTCCTCTACTATGGTGTAGGATAGCCAGGTAGTGTCATTACTGCTCGCACACAGAAGTTAGGTGGAGTGGCTCATGACCAACTGTGCATGCGTAAGCAAGTGAAAATTTTACCACATACACTGGTATCACTTGGGCAAACAGCGGAGGTCAGTGAATAACTGTATTTCCTCCTAGTTAAGTAGTCTTCAACAGTGACCGTATGCATAATCCCAACAGTAATGGAAGCGAAACCCTTCACGTCAACAGACAAGAACATGATGAATTCTGATTTTTTTCCCATGCAAAATAAGGTACCTTACGTTGTAAAATAGCAGAGCGTATGATCTAATCATCATTAAATTGATTATTTAACGAAAAAGAAATACAAAGACATGCTGTTCAACAAAACAAACAATCTACCTCGTCTAGTACACTGAATCAAATTCTAAATTTGCAACTTACACAGTTTAAGGAGGTGAAATTTGTAAACCGGGATTATTCAAATCGCAGTATTTGATCTTCTTGATACATTTAATGTCAATCCAAAATAGCAAGCATAAGATGCACAGCACTATATACTACTCAAAGGTTGATATTAGCAATTGCATACTAGTCACATCAACCAGTTGTGCTAACTAGGCAGCCAAACTGAATTGTTATAGACACTGGGTATCCATTTCGCTCGTTTCGGGTGGGCTCACCAGGAGTATACTCAGTTTGATTTAGTTCACAGAGTGGAATCATTTCAAACCGCCCAAATTCCATCTAGTTAGCTGCTCGGGTAGTTGCATACCACTTGAATCAACCAGTGGTGTTAACTGTCTGAGCTGTGTCAAACAGATTCCACTGCTAATGAGCTCTCCTTTAAAATAGAGTGAAACAGTCACCGGGTAATTAGATCATTCCGTTCTGGCTGGTTGGCTCAGAAGCGTCATTGATCAATGTGAGTGAAATTCAACTACTCATATCAGTTAATCAGTAGTATGTAGTTTCATGCGTTCATTATTTACACAAGTTATATAATTACAAATATAATTTTCTTTTATGAATATTGAATTCATAATGGAATGCAAAGTTGTTAGGTTCAAGCAATGTTTACGATGGTATACTAATTGATTGTTGAATATAGTGTTACGTAACGCTGATATAATGGGTGATCATTATAATGATATCTGGAGGTGAATTGAAAATCGATTCTCCGAATTATTAATCAGGTGTTTACAAGACTCAACTGCTACCCAGGTGGTCATTTCACTCCAATAATTACAGGTAATGCCCAACTCCATGTGAATGAATGAGTTGTTACAATCCGTTTGAAATAGTCACTAGGCGACAGGATTGAACAATTCTGTTTTTAGTAAAAACAACAGATTGAGCGAGGAAATATATTCCTTTTCAATTAGTTCCTCATCATCGGCTGGCTCTATACTAATATACAGCTTTTTACATCAAAATTTCTTTTACCAATCAAGTAGTTATTTTAGTTAATTAGTTTTAGGTATACGCGGGGTGAAATCAAGAGGTTGAAGGTCATCAAAACAAGTAACTAATAGATGTTAGTAACAAGATATCTCAGTTTTGGAAGAGGGATGAAAATTAATTATGGAATTCAAGATAGGTTGATTCTTAAGACCGAGAGATAAGACGTGTAAATCCGTCATATCAAGGGCCACACTAAAAAAGTTGTGGACATACCTTTCTGGATTGGGCGGAAAACGTGCTTCTGGTGTCTTATTGTCGGGGCTTAGATTTCTATTGCCGATATGTTGACGATACATTTATAGTTGTTAAGAAAGAAAGTGAGGCTAAGGACATATTGGATAAATTCAGTAGAGCATATTACAGCATCAGGTTCACTAAGGAAAAACTAGAAAATGACTCTATCCCCTTTCCGGATGTCGTAATGACTAGACGAACAGGCGGAACAATATGTAGACGTTTGTATAGAAAACCTACTTCCACTGGACAACATACTCACTTCCTGAGCTTCGTACCTCTACAATACTAACGTAATCTGGTTAGATGTCTGGTTCGCCGGGCTAGAGTTATCTGTTCAAAGGAGACAGTGAACGAAGAACTCGGTAATATTCGCGATCTGCTAAGTAGAAACGGATATTCCAACTAAATTCGTAAACAAACACATGAACTCAGAAAGTCAAAAGTTGGAGTTGCCGACTGTCCCCAAAAAGCCAATCATCCTAAGACTACAATTCACAGATGATGTCAATCGTGAAATCTTATCACAACGTCTGAGAAGGGCCTTCAAAAGGACTTTCTATGCAGCTAGCTATGCTGTGTATTCACTAGCCGACCAATACTTAGTTCAAGAAATAAAGACAGACTGCCCTGTTTCGCCTCTTCCATGTGTATTTACCAGTTTAACTGCCCTTGCGGAGCTAGTTACATAGGGCGTACGATCAGACAAGTTCATCGTCGAGTTTCTGAACACCTCTCATCTTGGTGTGGCGAAGGTCGGAATAAAGCCACACGCAGCTCAATACTAGCTCATCTCATCGATACTGACTGCACATCAAGTCGCCTTTAACAAAGCTTTCAAAGTTATTTATCGTATATCACCCAAACTCCCGCATGGTCCACGAGTAGGACTTTTACGTACAACAGAGGCAATCGGAATTCATCTGAACAGGCCAAATCTATGTATTCAAAAGAAATTTTTACAGCCACTTTTTTGCCATGGCCAACTACATAATATGTATTAAGTTTTTAAAACGATTTTTTCCCTCCCCTTGTAACCATCTTTTGACTTTGTGAATTTTTACAATTCTAGCTAATTCTATTGACTTGTTTGTATTTTACGTAACTCTTCTGAGTCATCCTATTCTTCTTAGTCATCATTGCTATTCTACAGATTTCCTGATTATGTAACAACTTGTTGCCAACGCCTAAGAATCAACCTATCTTGAATTCCATAATTAATTTTCATCCCTCTTCCAAAACTGAGATATCTTGTTACTAACATCTATTAGTTACTTGTTTTGATGACCTTCAACCTCTTGATTTCACCCCGCGTATACCTAAAACTAATTAACTAAAATAACTACTTGATTGGTAAAAGAAATTTTGATGTAAAAAGCTGTATATTAGTATAGAGCCAGCCGATGATGAGGAACTAATTGAAAAGGAATATATTTCCTCGCTCAATCTGTTGTTTTTAGTAAATGCGAAAATGGGAATTCAGAAAGTCTGTCTTCGTATACAAAACTCCAACTTTACCCTGTCAAAGTCTAAAGCTTCCTTGATATAAAGAGGTTGATTAGATATAGCTTTCAGGCAGATGCTTTTCGTCTAATAAATATAAAGTCCTCAAGGAAAATCTCTGATTGATAGATTGGAAGGTTTTGCATTCCGTGCTGTCTAGGTTTATGACTTCACACTATTGTCGAGTTCATACCAATGACTTAGTAGCTACTACTCTTTGATTGACCTAGCTGATGTCACTCGATTGAATTTACACGTAATATCATTAGACTATTTTAAAAATGGTTGCAGTACATATATGTAGAAGGAAATGAGGATGGGTTGGCTAACATCACGCGACAAGAACTCGAATGGATAATCGCGATTCTGGCCTCAGACTGAGGATGACATAGAGAAAGGGGATCGTCTGATGAGCTGAGAATGACAATCAAAGAGCCATCCAAGAAAGATTGTATGGAACAGAGTGAAATGAAAATGTGCTGCTGAAACTCTGTGTCCGAATCGAAATGTGTTCACCGACGATAAGAATAATAATACCATTGATGATAAGATTATCTCAGGAAAGACTTGGATTTGTAGATTACAATTGATGTATGGTATTGTAATATGATTGAATATGTGAAACACGAATCTTGATTTCGACAGGAATTGAATAGAATGATGACTAGCACACCAGTCTGTCAACTGAGCTACAAAATTCAGCCTTCAGTTATAAAAGGCTATCTCGGATGGTTTAATCATCGATTGGCAACTTGATACTGTCGTTCTAACTCAGGTTAATTTTGATTGACAGGAGATAACCTAGTTTAAAAGGTAGCCTGGAGATCTTAAACAGGTATCAACGTATCGTTCATTTAGATAATGTGCTTTTGTTGGGATTTGAATTATTTTTCATATAGAATTCATTACAAACCGACACCACTTAGAGATCACGGAAAATTAAGGAGCACTGGACAGCTGTTTCGTCTTTGATTGGGACTCCTCTGCACCGTACAAACCCATAATCTAAGCACCAGTCTTCAGCTCGTTCGTGGCTACTGCATGAATGTCTTAAAGTTGTAATGAGAACTCATTGCCCATCGAGTCCACCATGTCAACGTGAAGTTGATGCTCATCGAAGGCATTGGTTGATGGTACCTCTATATATCGTTCGAATAGACAGAAGTTAGAATATACTGGTCGCATTGATTTCCCACTTAAGTAGCTGAATAGTCAAAGTGCTTGACGCCATAACTTAAGGTCTCGGGTTCAATCCCTAGAGGTATGGTCGTGGATACACACTGTTGAAGAGTCCCAAACTAGGGTAGAAAAGCTGTCTAGTAGTACTTTTTGGTATTCGCTGATATCTAACTGATATTGGTTCGTAATACAATCTACATTAAACTATGGTTCATTGACACGATACAGTCGGGCATTAATAGTGTTAACGTGATTAACAGTTTGGTCAAGGGTAGGTTGGTTGATAGACAGCCGAACTAGTAGTTATTCTTAGGCTTCTACTTTGAGTTCCTATTTTAACCTCACCCAATCCACCAATACTGTTGAGTAGTGTGAATATTTTTTGTAATTTGAATGGTTTTCTGTTATTATTATTATTATTACTATATTTTTAGCCCTTAGCACTTCAACTGGTCCTTTTACACCGTGTATCACAAACTAACAATAATTCTTGTCAAGAACAGTTGGAATGTCTCCAGTCGAATCAATTATTGATGAATCTTGCTATCTGGTTAGCAGATACAAGAGGTGGTGGTCAATGTGAGAATAATTTAATCCTTGCATTGAATTTATTAACTAAAACAATCTCATCATCATCATCCTTAAGTAAACGAAATGATCTAATTGATTTAAGACATCGTCTTTGGTGTAATTTAAGCGTTGAACAACAGCAGCAACAATACCAGCAATACTGTCAGCAAGCATCTTTATCTTCAGAATTACAACAATTCTTTCAATGTCCATATCCGGTAGGTTTTGTTTTTTGTATCTTTTAGTTTGGTATTAATCAAAGCAATTTAATACCCATGCAAATATAGTTGAAATTTGTAACCTTCAGTTGAATATAGTCATCAGTAAACTGTGTATCTGGTTTTGTGTTGCTTTATTGAAACACCCTCTGACGTGGCGCGGGTTTTCCTCACAATAATGAAATGTTGAATATGAACCTCTGGAGCTTACAACCAGACTGGTGGATATGTTGGTCTACCTACGAGAGCCGGAAAACCCTGATTCCAAACCTGTGTTGTGAATATGGGCTCCAGAATCCGAAAGGATCAAATGGCGTATGAACCTTTTCTGGTTACCCACTGATGACGTTGCTCTACTACCTTATGTATCAAACTTCAAATCAAAGGTTCTTTAGGAGTGTGGTCCCTTATAACAACCACCTTCTTCGGTCTGGGCGTTGGGGCGAAACCCCAACCCTTGTATAAACTGATATTTTGTGTGGGGTTCATCTCTTCGCTCTCATAATGTACAAAATTTGCGTTTTAATGAATAAATAAAAATGAAGGTCTAAAGCATCCTTTATGTGATGAAATTATTGGAGGTATTATGCTTACTTATGCTATCGAATTAGGTGGTCTCATTTCACGAATCGAGTTCTTCTTACTTTTGCTTATAATGTCAAAGGTATAACGTCTATGTCATGTGTTATTTTACTGAAAATTGTTGAAAACTAAAACACTTAATTACTGCTGGATATTTGAAGGCGGTCTGGGTGTGAATATCTCATCGTCACTGGGTGATGCGGACTAGAATATGTGAGATCAATTCCTTCGAGGTTGCATGTACACCTTGCCGACGAATTCAGTGTCTGAGGTTTCTTGTCGAAATCCTCCAACAACTTATTAATAATTCAAAGTTCACGACAATTGTGCAAGTTTCTTAGCTTCGTGACACATTTCAAACTTGACTGATGGAATTCAGTCAGTCACTCCTAGCTTAAAAATAGGCAGTGAAGTGACCACTTCACTCATTTGAAAAATTGCATCAGCCTTAATGAACTGATTCCTGACGTCATCTCCGCACAAATAGAGAAGACTCGTGAGGCATTAGGTAAATTAAGTCATCTCTGTCGTAGATGTGATATCCGGATGTGGGTCAAAGGATGTGAGTACTAAGCAACAGTTCTCTTTGTCTCTCTTTATATCAGTGAGACATTGCCATTGAAAGTGAAGAGTATGGAAAGACTTTCTATCCTTGACCGTAGATGTTCGCTTTCTGTTTCCCGTGTTAAATGGCGTAATATGGTACTAATATTGAGGTAAGATGGAGAATGTTAGTAAGAAGGCCAAGTCAATTGGTTAGGCGACGTCGATTAAGATGGATAGGACACGTGAACGCACCCCAAGCCACCGTCTCCCTTGCTGACCAGTGTAAGCTGACATAACATTAGGTTGGAAAAGAGTTGAGTTTGGTCAAATCAAAACCTGGCATCAGTTCATGAAGTCTTTGACAGTTTGTTTGAGTCACTTACGCGAATGGGGTCCTCAGGATTCTAAGGATTAATGACTTGAAAATGTTGGTGATATGGCTCAAAATTTTTCTCAATGGCTCAGATGCATTAAGTCCCCATGTTTTTCCATGTTACTCTTCTTTCTCCCCCACATTTTTGCTCATTATAGTTCCTTTGAATCGCTTGTTTCTAACTTTATGTGCTGCATGGAGTATGGTAACTTGAGCAAGTAGATGCACTTCTGTGCAAAGTTTTATGCGGAAATTCAGTCACTCAGCGTGAAGGATTAGACACACGACACTCACTGTTCACTCTCCGATGACCAATCACTGCATTATAACTAACTTTACTAAATATGAGTAGGCTGTGTGATACCGAGGTGTCTAAGTGCCATTAACCACATTTCATGAATAAACAAATGACACGAATGAATGATATTTTTGAAAACAATTTATCTGGAGCATTGGCTTTGAAGTTTGTGTTACTATCTACAGTTCTGTCAGGACACTGGGAGGTATCAATTCGTGTTACGCAAAGTATGCACCGGATTGTTTGAGTCATTTCACATGGATGAATAAAATATAAGCGATGGTTAATTACAAAAGATATAGATTAATGAGTATTCGTTTCGAAACTTCCCATGAGAACTGTGCAGTTAAAATAGTGTTTCTAGAAGGTTATAAGGACCGCCGTTACCAATTATATATATATGGTTGGTAGTGATAGTGAATGCAAGCTTCGTCCTATCTGGGACTCTTCAGCCATATACATCCGCATCTGCAGTGACTACAGATGTTGCCGTTGAGACTCGAACCCAGCACCCATGGTTTCACGTGCCAAAGCGTTATCCAGCAATCCATGATAACCACCTGTTCTTTACCTGGGTTTTTAATGTCAGTTTGAATTTCCATGCTGACTGATTGTATGAGACGCGGAAACTCGGTCTCTGTTGATACGTTGGCTCCAAGTATTGCTGCTTCAACTATACCTTGGAATTAATATGATGTCACTTCAGTAACACTGGCTAGCAGTGGAATCCAGAACGTGCACTACTTCCTATTTGAAACTTACCAGTTTAGTGGCTTTCATGTGGTGGTCTAGTGGTTACTGCCTCTGTAGTCTGAAGAGAATGGGTCCTGAGATCGCGTCTCTGTAGGAACACAATCGCTCACTGAAGACTTGTGGGTACATCATGTTGACAAGTTCCAAATAGGACTAAACGTACGTCCTGGATCCCACTGCTGGCCTCCATCATTCAAATAACAATGGAAACAATTTCCTTAATGTTCAGTCGTTAGTTCTTTCAGTAACCATTTTGTGGTTATCGTCGCTTATTTATTTTATTTTGTATTTTACTTTTTAGCAAACCGGATGTCATTGTGGTTTGTCTAATCCGAACCCATCACTTATTATGACTAATAAAGCAACACATCAAAAAGCCATGCATGCTCAGCAATCATCAATGTCTACTATCTTTTCATCATCAACACAGAATCTTCCACCACAACCACACTTACACCGACAAGCGTCATTACAACAACCAATACAATCTACCAATAATTTCTATCCGCCATTGCCATCAGCAAATATTTCAAATCAGCCAGTATTTCCTTCTCAGGGAATGCAGTTGCAACCGCCATTACCACCTCCCCCACAACCAACAGCAGCGCAACAACCGCAACCATATTTCCCATCGAATCAAAATATGCCTTTTGAACAATACCCTCCTGCTCCCCCTCCTCCTCCTCCCCCAAGTGCTTTCAGTCATCCTTCTATGCCTAGTATTATTGAACAGACGAAAAATATTCAGCTTAATTCAAATCAACAACATGTATCTCCGTAAGTTGGTTTTATTTTCTGAGTTTGTTTGCAAAACACATGACAACTACTTATATTTCTATGCCAACATCTATTGTGTAAAGGCTACTAATGCTGTATTATCTGGCTGCTTAACGTTCAGTTGGTAGAGCAGGATTTGGACGTGTGACTCAGTATTAGTTCCTAGATTAATGAAAAAGCCAGCAGCTACATGGTAAAGCTCTGGCTTAGTACCTTGTCATACATTCAAACATCCCCATGAGGATTTTCAGTAGCTAGATGAAGTATTATTGCTTCATGTAAGCGTTATTGTTGAGTCATGTCCTTTTTTCACTTAAAAAAAAGGTGAGTTATAAAGAAAGAATTCGTGTTTATTTTTAAAAAACTGCAATGCAATATAAGACGCAGATAGAGATTACAAGTAGGTTATGTTAACTTTGCTCGCTCGACTAATCCGCTCAATTATGCATCCAAAGGACGGATGGAATGTGATAAAATCTCATGATTTAGCATCGGTATAACAAACAACCGAAACCTAAGTATTTCGGTCTTAACCCAGAGACAGGCAATCAACGCATCCTTCGGTATAGGTTGTCAAACTTCCACGATCAAAGTAAGGTCCAGAATGATAATCGCAATTATGTCAAACGACTTTTTTTTAACCTGGTAGGATTTGTGATACTGCTCAAAAGACACTAAAATAATTTATGTCAAAAATACAAAAACCACCATAATAATCAAATTCCTTATTTGCGAATTAGCCAACAAATTGCAATTCACACAGTTCCAGGGGATGAAATTCTCACCACAGTTTCCTTTTGAAACCAGAATTATTCAAATGATCACATTGCATTTGTGATCTGTTTGATACCACAAATAGTAATCAAGAAAGCAAGCATAAATGCATAAAATTATATATTATTGATTGATTGAGGTGAGAAGTTGTATACTACTCACCTCAACCAGCAGTGGTGATTAAAGGCGCTACCAGTTATCCCAGAAATCGGTTGTTCTTTGAACTGATTCAACTCTCTCAGCCAAGTCACACCGGGTATCATACCCCGTTGATCGGCTCAGTCTCACACGAGCGAAACAGTCGTCTTGTGATGGTTTAGACCACTTCAATCTAACCGGCTTGCAAGCACTACTGGTTGATGTGATTGGGTATACAACTACTCATCTCAATCACCTAGTAGTATATATAGCTCTACCTTAGAATGCCGTTCGATAATAATACAGTCTTAAAATTTCTCAAGCACAAAATGCTTGTACTGTACAACAAGAATAATTGGCTGTACACACAACTTTGAGTTACTTGAGAATCAGTAAGAATATTCTCAACAGGGTGGGGAAAAAACTCTGTCTACAAGAATCATGTAAAACTAAACATGTTTTCCACAGACAGTTACCCCACAGCATAACTTTGAATTCATTCAAATAAAATCGCAATTGTAAAACGACACATTATTAGCAAATTATCACACAACATCAAAATGAAGTATTGAAACTACGAATCGACTAAAATCAAGGACAAATAATAAGGATTAAGTCCAAAGTGGAGATAGAACAATGATGTGCAACTTAGTGGGAAAAGGGTAGTAATTACAAAATTAGTTGAAGTTTATTCATATAGGTATCATTACTGCAAACAGACTGTTCATGGAGGGATTTTCAGATCTATTATTCCTCTACAATCACTGCGAGACATCATATAAAAATGACTTCTGATGCCGACTAATTAAAGCATTAACACGGATCCGAGTGGGACATAAGGCTTCAAGCATTTTTAGTTCCAGTGTTGTTTCGTTTTGTGGGATGAGGTTGCTAGCCTCGCGCTCACCCTAATCTGCTATCGGCTGGTAAACTTGCTTCTGTCTGTAGTCGAATCTTAGCAGATTAAAATGCGTCTTTGTTTGTCAACTCCCTGTAAGGTTGATTGTACAGTCTTCAAGAGTGGCGCAATGTAAATCACATTATTGCCATCGAAATTAAGTTTCATACAACTTTGAAAATAATTCTTTCTAGCAGGTTCCATGATTCCCCTTAAGCTGTCGTTTCCTCCACACATGAAATCCTTCATGTCACTCTTCAGACTTCCGTCCAACTCATCATTCACCATTGATGTACTAATCCAAGGCCTATTTAGCCTGCAATATCAACCAGTGGTCTTCTCAGCGTATATCCAGCCCACATCTTCACTTTCTTGTGCACATTTGTCAGGGAATCTGTTCTTGATTTGTCGCCCGCCAGAGTTGCTATTTGCTTATCTTTTCTAACTGGTCTTTTGATCTTCATTACTGAAGCAGCTAATGGAGGTATTAATGAAAGTCTGCCACAGATTATTGGAAAGGCTTTTAGTGATACGCTCACCAAGTGTCTGAATCATTTAGAGGCACTAACTAATTTGACATTATTGTTGGAAATTTGAATCTTGTTCCTTCCTCTGAGTGCAGTGGATTTCCAAAATAATTTGACGTTAATGAAGGTCTCTTTTACCATAGTAATCCTGGCTTCGACATCTTCATCTATGTGCCCTGTATTTAAAACGATGCTACCCAGAGAAGTGAAAGAAATGACCTCCTTTATATTTCTCCCATTGATGGCGATTGATGCCTGTTGTCGTTGTTGTTGCTGGTTGGGTATCTTGATCTCTTCTCTATATTCACCTGAAGTCGTCTCTTTGGTGCCTTTTCTCCTGACTTGTTGATTTTCGCCCATAGATCCCCGGGTTTGTGTTAGATTAGGCATAAATCATCCTCGGAGTCTATATCTTCTAGAGTGTTTCTGTTGATCGAACATGTATGCCTATCTTCTTTTTTCATACAGTCTGTTGCATCACTGTCAGGAATATCTTCGGTGATAATAAGTAGGCTGTACTCCTGTCTACACTTCAAAGGTCTGACTGAGTTTTCTCTTATGAAACCAAAATATTGATGGTTATATAAATTATAAGATTATGTAAGTCATTAAAAAATCCGTTACTCAAGAAGAGATAGTGACCTCAGTGTGGTTAAGCAAATTGTAACTGTATGATCAAAGGGTCTCAAGAAACATGGCATAATCAATTAAAAATGAAGGACCGCAACAACATATTGCATAACGCATGATGTTCACCTGATGTTCTGTGTAGATAGGTCGATATTGCATCACCTCATTGCTTAGTGCTGTACATGCTTGCTTTCCAGTAGATGTTAACAAAATCAACAATAGGTCCTTGTTTCCGTTTTTTTCATGTACCTGCTTCGGCAGTTAACACGTAAATTGATATAGTTAGAGACAACACAAGAAATGTATCTATCCACTTTTAAATAAACTAAGAAGCTTGTTTTGTATCAATTATTTTAGAAAAGATAATAATAATTCCATAAACACATACTTCTACATACACACACACAAACACTTTCATTCTTATTATGCCTTGTTTTACAGTATGCCCAATGTAGTCAAGCCTCCTATTGCATCATTATCTGCCCCGATGAATACAAACATTGGAAATAATATACCAGCTAATTATCAATCACCATTTAATAATATGCCTTCGTCTACTCCACAATATGGTGTACAACATCAGCTGCAATCACAACAGTCAGTACCGTTGCCGCCACCACCACCACCACCGGCCTCTCATCATCATCATCAACAGCAACAACAACCGTTACAACGTCGACAAACATCTACTTCACCTGGTTGGAATGATCCACCAATTCTATCAATGAATAAACCACCACAAGTAAGTGGTCTTTCCTCTTTTATTTATACCTTTCTTTTGTGTATCTGAGAGGCTTTCTTTGTGTGTGTGTGTATGCGCACATGTGAGTGTAATTTTTATGCACATAGGAGATATTAACAGAAATAGCAAAATGTTGTACAGAAGTGCAACAGTTCATGATGCCACACTTCATAAAGATAGAAAATAAAAATTCAAAGAAACTTTAACAAAAGGAAGTCTACTAAAGGTGGAATAATTACTTGATGGATAATAAGGATTTAATTGATTTGGATGATTACTAAGAATGCATGAATTTATGCTATTGAGTCATTGATAAATAGTGTCTCCAGTAACCCAAATGGACAGTCTACACCTCCCTATGTAGCTGAAATCAACAGTCAAAGACCTCATGGTTTGGTGTCACTTTTTGGTCTGACCACCTCTGTTGAATCTATACCTAATCTAGTCCTATCTTTGGTACAGACTGAATTCTGTCAATCAAGTTTGTAATGTGGCGACCATTCTAGGTGGCTCGCCATCACGGTACACTTTGAATTGTTGCTATTAGGTGGTTGGAAGTAATCGTCAGCAAGGCGTATCTGCAACCTTGAAGGAAGTCATTTCCCTCCTAAGATTCGAACCCGCGTCGTCCAGTGCCGCCTGCAGTCGAAGACATTACCACTGAGCTATTTGGGCTGGTGATTGACGTGGTGTAGGACTGTACTGGATACTTTGATTGAACACTAGTTAATAACTAGTGTAATGTTTCTAGTCTTATCTTTGGCGCAGACTGAATTTTATCAGTCAAGTTTTCAATATAGCCGATTGCAGTAACACTAAAACGTGGTGGGTGAGCGGTTGGAGGATTATAGGTGTAATGTGGCTCAGAATAATTAATCATCATAGCTTTTGTGCATTCATACCGCGTTTCTATGCAAATTGTTAGACATTATTTTCCTCACTTGTTACATTTTATCTTGATGTATGTAATATGGGTTACTAATAACTTGAAATTTACCACAGTTATGCCTGATCGTGTGTTTGTGATATCTGTCCGCCAAGACCTCTGATTGGATCATTCAACATTTGCCTATTATTTACCCACTTTAGCTGCTTTTATTTAACTTTTCAAACAACAATTATAATATTTGAACAAAGAAAGAATGAACATACATTTGCTGGATTGTACAAACTCGTTTTATTTTGCGGATTCTTGTCAAATGGACACAACCTAAACAATATCAAAATATGAGTTACAAAAGCTCTGACTAAACATACTTTTATCACAGTGACGTCTAACTTATCGATAAAAAGTATAAACAACATATAATTCTAAAAATTATATAAGAAGAAAAATTATTCAGTCTTAAAAGGGCTAACTATTTGTAGCTTAATCAAACAGGAAAAGAGAGGGTAGCAGAGTTCATATATAGCATAGAACCAAGGATCAACTAGAGTTAGAATGCTTAATGTGGTGGAAAGTACAAAAGGGTGGGAATGAAAAATGACACAGACAACCAGGTAAGTGAGTTTGGAAAATTAATAGATGCTCAATATTGATTGGTTCTATACAGGGAGTTACCTGCAGTTCTAGTGAGAAGTCGTGACTAGCGAGGTCCACGAAGTCAGGTGAGAGGACAGTTACTCACCGATGACATCGGCTGGCGGCTGCACTATACATCAAGGACTGACAGAAGCTGGAATTCATGAGCGATTGGATCAGGTCCCAACAGCCGAATGGTCTACGCGCTTGCCTTGTAGGCAGAAGATCGTGAGCTTGGGTCCCGGTGGGTGCGTACTGATAAAGAATCTCAAACTAGGAGGGAACAGCTGTCCAGTACCCACAGGTTTTCCAATGGTTCTCTAACTGATGCCAGCTGGTTATCAATCCTTCAACTCAGAAAGTGAAAAACAAAACTAGGCAAGGCGTTTCACAACAAAATCAAACATAAATAACGCAAGAACACAAAACAATTACAGTTACCAAGGTAGTGGGACATTAAACACGCTATCCTTCCTCATACGGGTGTTGAGTTTAAATTTTTTGATAGTAACAATAATTTCTGCTAAACGAAGTAACCAAAGCTTTTTTCTCTATATATTGATTTTTTTGAAACCTTGGTTACTTTTATTATATCATTTCGGGATAACGTTGTTGATACTTTCTGTCGATAACATCGACGTCAATGTGATAAAAGTATGTTCAGTCAAACCTTCTGTAACTTATATTTTGATATTGTTTAGGCTGTATGCAGTTGACAAGACTCTGTAAAATAAAATGTGATCGTATCATCCCGTAAATGTGTGTTCGTTCTTTCTTCGTTCGAATTTAATCAAGCGAATCGGTTGTATGCAATAATAACAATAATATTTGCGTATATTTCAGTTCCTAAACTGTGTTGAATTGATTATTATTATTATTACTAAGATTTTGGTTTTGGTATGAATTCGGATTGATTTCAATGTTTTTGCATAAAACTATGGACTAATACTGATTGTTTGAGATGAGTAGTAGTTGTATACCCACTCACATTAACCAGTAGTGCTTGCAAGCCGGTTAGATTGAAGTGGTCTAAACCATCACAAGACGACTGTTTCGCTCGTGTGAGACTGAGCCGATCAACGGGGTATGATACCCGGTGTGACTTGGCTGAGAGAGTTGAATCAGTTCAAAGAACAACCGATTTCTGACTAGCTACTTGGTCGATCATTTATGCATTTATGTTTGCTTTCTTGATTGTCATTCACGGGATCAGGCAGATCATGCACGCATTGTGATCTGAATAGTTTTAGTTATCAAAGGAAACTGTGTTTTGAAATTGTGTAAATTGCAAATTGAGAATTTGGTTTGATTTCACAAATCAACACCATGGGTGTACGTACACTGCTCGAGAGTTTCGAAGTAGGATGGAGCTTCCGTCCGGTGTAATTTTTTTCTTAAGTGATCCATTCACTTTTGTTGGTTAGTGAGAGTATCTTGTTGCTTTCATTTTCTTTTCCTCTATTCTTTGACATTATTTGTTTGCATCCAATAATAATAATAATAATGGTTATTCTTTTCTAGTCAGCTGTATCACACAATCCATACTATAATCCTATGGAGTTTACCAATTCTAGTATTTCTCAGTTGAATAATTCCCTAACACCAGGGGCAGGATTCCCTAAACCTGTACAACCAAGTATGCCTCCTCTGCCACCATCTCTACAAACACCAGGATCTGCTCTTAGTCAAGCAAATGTGCCTTATCCTTCATCATTGAATAATTCTATCCCGTCAATGAATACAAGTCTACCTCCACTACAAGGACAACCGCAACCACAACTTCCACCAATGCCACCATCACAACCATCATTTGAACAGTTATCAGCTGCAAAGACAACTCCTGTTCTGTCACCACCCCTTTCAGCATATCCACAAATGCCAGGTGGAGGAGTATACCAACAGTACCAACCGCAGCAGCATCAACTACAACAACAACAACCAGACCCATATTATCAACAATTTCAGAGTACTCAGTTTTCACCTTCACCATCATCTTTGGCTCCACGACAAGCTTCATCGACATCATCAACTATCTGGCCAGCAGCACCTCCACTGTGTAGTATGCCTAAGACGAGTATAGATTCAACTCCTTATACTGATAGCAATAATATTTTAACATCAAATTCTTCTGCTGATGGTGCTGTCAATGGTAATACTGTTTCACAGACTTCAAATGTCAATTCAGACACTACTACTACTACCACTACTCCTGCTAATAGCAGTGGTAATGACATTTGCTTATTACCGGAAGAATATAATTCAATACGTAAAGTACTAATTGATTTAATATATAATTGTCGTCAAACTGGAGGCAAAGTAAGCATGTTTTGATTTATTTTGTTTTTCTTTGTTGTGTGAAATGAGGGAAAAGAATTTGGGTAATTTCTCAATGCAACTTGACTTTGGTTGTGGGATACACATTTTGTCCTATTTGGGACTCTACACAACTGGATATGCCTACCTTCTCCCGGTGAGTGAGTCAGTGAGTGAGTGATGGTGTTCTCACTGACACCAGAACCTACCGTTTATTCATCGTTTCAAACACCAAATGATCACTCATTAAGAATGCAGGTACATCAAACTGACGAGTTCCAAACAAGACGAAATGCGCACCCTGGATTCCCCTGCTAGTTTTACATCAAACAAAACAACATCACGTTAATCTTCAGATATTGTCGAAGCGTCCGTACTAGAAGCTGACACAGCAATAGAGAAGCTGAGCATTCAGGTCTGTTAAATCAATCATTTGGAAATGCAGATTCACCTAAAAACAAATAATTACTTTCATCCAGTCTATTTCCGATCCAAATTTTGACCTAATTAGTTGATCCTGGATATTAACTGAAGTAGTGTCATCCACGCCTTGCATATCAAAGTGCAGCTAAATAACCTGATGCATCGTAAATCTATTGTTGATTTCTATTTACATCAGTTCATACATTAGGATTAATGTAGTATATCATTGGATTTTTTTTCGTTGAGTTCCAAGTGGAACATTGGGTTTTGAAGTTTCATTAGGTCGAGTTGCTAGCCTAATACCTGACCTCCCCTGTTTCTACCGGCTTAGGAGTACATCGGTCGGGAATCGAACCCTGGATTACTTGTGAGTGATTGACAAGTATTCTATGATTGAACCATCTACACGTAGTGTACGTTTGATATTTTACGCATAGAATAATCTTTACCATGCATTAATTTTTTTTCTAAATTCTGATTTAATTTTTTTTAGCAATATCGTAATAAACTAGATGATGTAGAACGTCGTTTAGATCAATTTTTCAAAAATATCTCCACTGGTACATTACAATTGACTGGTTCAACTTTTGAATGTCTACAACAGTGTACCCTATTAGCTGAACAATTCAATTATGTTGAAGCATTGAAACAAGTGAATTTGTTAATTCAGTCAGCTTTTCAATTACCAGATATTCAGTGTTTCGGTCCAGCATTAAAAATATTAATGCAAACAGCTAAACAATTATATCCAACATCCTCTCCAACTTCTGCTGCTGCCGCTGCTTCGACTTCAGCTTCAATGCCGACTCCACAAATGCTGATGAATCAGTATCCAATTGTCTCTAATCCTATTCATTAATTAATTAATTAATTAACAGGCTGAACAAGTGAATAACATTTCGACAACTACAAAAATAATAACATAAAATGCATAAAGTATGGTGCATTACTCTCTGATACTTACTTTTTTCTCTCTGACGTAGTCATTAGATAAATATACACCTACACACATACATTTCTGGACGAAAATCTTGTTGTCCAACAACCGTCTCTTGTAAGCATCCCTATATCAACTGTTTCTATAACATTTGTTATACACTGGTGCTCTTTTGTCTACTAAAGCATATTTTATGCACTCCTTTGTCTTTCGTTCTTTTCTACTTGGTTTTTTTTAGCTTAATTTGTTCACCCCCACCTACATGAAACCCTATAATATCTGTGCTCATTGTTTTACTTGATAAAAATTAATTTTTATTCTCAGAAATGAATTTAACTTGAGAATCAGACGTATAATGGCTAGTTACTTTGTTCCTTTGAGTTTCACAGTTGCTGCTTTGTTCTTTTCTGTTCGGCTGTGTTAATTAATTTATTTTACTTGATTACCGTTTCCGTCCGCCCCCCCCCACCTTTCTAACTTCGCTTTTTTGCGCTATTATTGTTATTATTTAATATGGAGACAGTGAATGAATGATGATAAGGGGGGAGAAGTCAAGTGAAACACACACACACACATTATCTTTCCATGTCTAATAAGACTTTTTGTTTGGTGAATGGTATTTTGAATCTCCTGCTAACCCAGCCCCGCCAAATTATCGAATTCCATCAGTAAAGGTGATATGGTTATTATTATTATTTCATGTGTTTTTGGTTGGTGGGTGTATTTATGCGTGTAATATCTGCCAACTAGGCTGTTTACATCATCATGACTGTTATGTGCGTGTGTGTATGTCTGTGATTTTTTAATGGTATTTTAACATTTTTCCTTGTTTCTTCCTAATATTTAATAAAAGTTTGTCTCGTCTTCTTATTTTATGAATTCTTCTCTTTGTTTTAATCTTTTTGTATTACTTAAATAGTTGTTATAAATAGGGATACACACCGAAAGTGTTGCATCATCTTTTCTCTCTGTCACTATGGTGAATTCCCACAATATAATAGAATGACCTTGACGTATTGCTCTGTATGGAATAACATTTGGCTCATTCATTGGCCTAAGAGCTTGGTATGCCGTCGAATGGGTCAAGGATTCGAGTCCCCCCGGATATACTACTTCACCATGGGTAGCTAACTGGGTAGTGTCACTTATCAAAAGCCCTCCCACGACACAGAGGTATATCTGTTACCCTAGTACTTGATAGATTTTTCCCAGACCACTGAGTCGGGCAGGTAAACAAAAAAGTTAGGAGTTAATATTGCTTATCTTTTCTTTGAGCAGATTGTTTCATCATTGAAAGCAGAATGTCAGAATCAATGAGTAAAGTAGAAAGTCTTTTGAGGTGGAAAACTTTTAAATATGATAGAACCACCTCTTAACAATTGTAAAAGTATATTTTAAAAACCGTTGACTGCTCAAAGACTATTCGTTGAAAATAAGAAAGTGAGGCGCATAATTATTATCACTGTTTCCATTGGTAACGAATTTTTAGCTAGTTTCACACTTGCTCATAAGTTTTCGTTTCCTCTTCACATTGTCATCCTCGACGCTAGGCCCAATTTATCGTTTTCCATTCGAGTTCCACTCAACGGCCTTCTCAGTGTATGTTCAATCTATCTCCATTTCATTCTGCATATTCATTGGGCGGTAGGCTCGTGGTTGGTTCACTGCCTACCTAGCAGAATTCTTTGTTTTTTTGCTTTCCATTTGATCATTTGATTTTTATTATCGAGCCAGTGAAGGTAGCTGTTAATAAAAGTTTGCAATGGTATGTTGAAACTGCTTTCTGTGACGCTCCACATCAAGTCGCTGAACCATATAGAAGCATTGACTGATTTAACATCAGTGTTGAAAATTCGCATCTTGTTCTTTGGTGAAGAGTGCTGTTGATTTCCATACTGATGTCAGAGTAGTAAACGCCTTGACATCTTCATCAGTCCCACCTATAGGTTAAAGGACAATGCGTAGGTCATGTACGTGAAGAAGACGACTTCGTTTAGATTCCCCCCGTTGATGATGAATGATGCCTTTCGTTGTTGGCTGGTTGTCTTCATCACTTCTGCCTTCTGTATGTTCACCTAAAGTCCAAACGTGGTTTATTTTGGAAGCTAGAGGATACCTGAATCAGTTAATCCCCCACTTGGATCTCCATGAGACTACGGGCAACTATAGGAAGTCAGAAAGTATCGTGACTGCTGAAAGACTATTTGTTTGAAATAAGCAACTGAGGTGCACAGTACTGATATATTATAATGAAAGATACTACATTGATATAATCAGTATTAAAAAACATCTGTTTAACAACTAAGGCTGTATTTATCAAACTGTTAATTGTAGGTCCTTATTTCAGTAACTCGTGGTTCGTCTAATTTCAACAACTGTCTCATAGAAGGACATTTGTGATCAATCATCCCTACACCCAATTGGTCTGGTTCTATTGACTACAGTGTCTTAGTAGAACGTTGCGAATATAATCTCGGATCCAGTTACTAATATGTACTGGTTAGTTGATGGGATAGTCCCAAGAGACGAATTAGCTGTTCGATACTCATTGATTCTTTCGTTCACATGTATGTGTTACTCATTATTTATAAAGATGCCCAACTACTAACAACAACAGTCATCGTTAATAGGCGAAATCTAATATTTCATTTACCTGGACAGTATCGTTTCTACCACAATTGAGACGGGTGACAATATCAAATCCAGTCAGGATTGGATCTGAAAAGTAAGATAAGCGTTTATTACCTTTAAATCAGTATGGTGATGTACACAAGAAACAAGATCCGAATTTTCAGTACTGGGCTTCTCAAAAAAGACTATATCATATTACGAAGGGTATTAAATGCTGTGAGTAGGGCTTGTGGTTTGCCACTGCGTGAGCTCGCCAATATTATAGTCGAGAGACACATAAATTCCTCTGCAAAATGGACAAAGGCCGTACTGTCAGACCCTCTGCACCCCCTTTATTCACAACTATCCCCTTGCATCTCATCAGGTAGGACGAGAAGTCAATATAAAAAGTTCTATGCTCGAACCACTAAGTAAAAAATTCTACAATACCGTATTTTATGTGATGAAGACTCTGTTAGACGTGAAACATCTAAGTTACTATGTAATTAGCAAAGTCAATCGACTCCTTCATTGTTCATCTTTCTGTAATTTTATGGTGTCACCCTTCCTATCGTTTAATACAACTTAGCTATTTTTATTTTAGTTGTTATTACTATTATTACTATAATTTTACACTCTATGCATATTTTTCTCCGTATTGCATACAGTAATTTGCTACATAGCTGCTATAACAACGTTTTGTTCTTATTATTATGTAATGTTTTTTTGTCGTTTTTGAGTAAATTAGATGCAATACAATATTGTAATGAATCCTGAAAATTCCTTGCTGTATCATTAGTACTATTTTTGGAATAAACCAAAAAATTATTATTATGATTATTAAATATGATGCTATTTAATTACAAGAAAGTAGTATGGAATATGTTAGCGAAAAAAGTAGCCAACAAAATAATTTCTCATTGTAAAATATAATTGACGATACCTTGAGGAGAAATGATGATGGACACTGTGGATAAGTAAACTTTAATTTTCAAGTTAATGTGAGATGAGAGATTTCTATACGTATTTCTTAAAGTATAGAGTAACTGTGTTTGCCATTGTAAGGCCATACCTTTGACTAATCGCACGAGTTGAATGATAAGACTGCAATAAAAATTATATATATATATATATATATATATATATATATATATATATATATATACTGTATGATAGGGTTCTATATCTACTCTTAACTAATGATCTTCCACGAAAGAGTGAATTGTTGCTTCAAGAGGTTAAATTACAACTGACAGCAGCCTTTTAAGTTGTTGAATTAACCACTTTCCTTACACTTTCCATCACTACAGACAATAGTGTGTGTCTATGATGCAATCGCTGTTTAGTGGATATGTCTATATGTATACTGTAGAATTCAGTTACCCAGGATAAAATTGGTGGAGAAGGATTTAAACCCAACCCTAACTGAATTAAGAGTTACTTTCTGCACCTGTACACAGAATCACATCACACATCATTAACATTCAGGGTGGGAATATAATGAGTGACGATATAAATTAGTGTAGCGAAAGAAAATGCGCGCACTTTCATCGCAGTATATTTGAATAGGTGGTAGGTGGAAGAAAGACAGTCAATTACGATTGGAATTTCCTCAGATAGTTGCTTTTATGTAATTTTGTATTACATGCTGTTTTGGAGATGTTTTATCGATTTTATTTGTAAGTGACTGGAATATGTGTTGTGAGGTTTGCTGTACTATGCTCCAGAACATCTCGGGATTACTTTGATCCTAACTCAAAATTCCACTATTTTTTAATTATTGTTATTTTTATCAAAGCTTGATTCCACAGTATTTTGGCACAACTATGGGATTTTCAGCATGTGATATCGGTAGCCCAAATTTAGCAGGCCGACTATTGATATCAGGTGTGCATCGGCCGGCGATCGAACCCCGGACCATTTGCATGGTCGGTGAGTGTCCTAACCGCTGCGCCACCGAAGCACAACAACTAGTAGAATGTTCAAATTACAACAATAAAGATTTGTGTCATGATTCACTCAATAGGATCTAATTGTTGAAGCACTCAAAATAATATGAATGCCTCTCTTTTTGCCTTATGAATAAAGGTGATTAGTTAGAAATGAAGAAGAGTATCATCGAATTTTTGTACAATGTGTAAACATGTCCAAACGTTTTGGTGAGGTTAGTTATATGGATGACATCTAAGCTTAATGGTGTAAAGTTTACAATTTTGAACTAAACCTACCAATGTTATTTGGTGGACTGCAGTAAACGCGCATTTCGTCCTATTGAGGACTCATCATGGGATGTATCTGCACTGCTAGTCAGTAATGGTGTTACCATTGGTGACTGCAGATACATTCAGATGACGAGTCCTAAACAGGACGAAACGTGCACTCCGGATGTTATTCCTCAGAAATCGTCGAAGTGTACGTTGATTATGAATACTTCAGAATTAGTTCCCACGGCTCAAATGAATTCTCACTAACTTTCTTTGTCTTGTAGTTTACCATTTCCTCTTATTATTATTATTGTTACCTCAAATCTAAATTAGATGGTGTGTGCAATTTAGCATTTTGTATGTTGGTTGATCCAGTAATCTTATCACTAAAGGAATGTTTTAAGTTTAATGATGTTTTTGTTTGCTTGTGTGTGCGTACATACTCACTTTGAGTAATCTTACTGAACTATGAAATGAGATAATTTCAGTCAATGGGATTTTAATTCCTGTAGTTTTTAAAGTACTGAAAGAGAAACTCAGTCATTCAGTGGATTATATTGGATTTTTGAAACTGTCACTCCAATCTTGAATGATTTTGATCATAATTTGATCAGATTTCCAACTTATCAGAATCGGTTGCTAGTTCTCTTCCTCCAAAGCATTTTTCAACGATACTCTTTGTATGAAAAGACGGAAAACGTGACAATGGAAACTAACCCTGTTCCATACCAGCTGAGCTTTCATACTCAGGTGCCACTTATTATGTCAATGTAGTAATAATAGTTTTATTCTGAACAACATTTCGATATACAGTACAGAATTTTCTGCGTGTTTCCATCTACTCCCCTATACAATATCTTTAAGTATAACAGTAATCTACAGTATATAGTTCGACGAAATTTTCTTCTATCTCCAACAGGCATCGATACTCCTACATGTTTCCTCCCTTCAAAACAGACTAAGGGGAAAGCATTCAAAAGCGCACATGATTACACATTGTTCTTGAAGAAGGCCGTAGACAGATGACTGTTAAAATAAAGGAAAACTGAGTAAATTTGACACATTGACTGTGCTCTGTGACAATTTAGGTAGCAAAACGATATAAACACAGGTGTCTGTTACGAATTTGTATACTACTGTAACCCAGCCTTTAATTCTACCTTCAGTTATCATATCTGTTACGTCTCCATATCAGTTTGCCAGTTCAAGACCATCTTACATATCGTTATCATTCTAATCATAATACCAGTTTCTAATTTAATAATAAAACAAGTTTCATTAAAAACAATCATCATTTAGAGAACCATTGAAAATTAGAGAAAACTGAACTGTTCTCTTTTCCAGTA